TTTGTCCATACCTCAAAGCCTAAATCTGTTTCTCTGCAAAGTCTACACACAATTTTGCCCTCTGGGGCCAAGCAGAATGTCTACTCCCTCTTCTACTTGAAAGTCTTTCATGTATTTGAAAACAGCTATCCTGCCCTCCCTCACCTCCAATCTTCTCTTATCCAACCTAAAACATCTCCAAGTCTTTCCAATGATTCCCACATTTCACTGTTTCCAGCTCTCTCAGCAATATATTGTGTGGCTTCCCAAACTGAAAATAATTTACTTCATGTAGTATATTGTTGTTATTGCTAACACACACAAACACACACACACATAATAAAAAGATCTTGGTGAGTGGAAGAAAATAACCTTGCTTCCTTGGCTTAACTTTTGTGAGGGCTTTCATTAATTGGCATGCCAAGCTGGAGAGGATTTGGGGAGTCAAGTAGACATCCTATCGTAGCTGCCACACAGGTCTTGTGGGGCATCTTTAGCAGACATTCCCAAAAAATCATTTGAGGGTTAAATAGAGGAATATCTAATCCTAAATCATGTAACTGTCTAAGATAACAGACTATGATTCAGCCCCAGACACAAGAGAGACAAAAGAACAAACTTAATCACAGCCTAAGAGAATATTCTATCTTGATTTTGCTCTCTCCTTACTTGGGTTTATTAAATCATAGCCAATGTTTGGGACTAAAGAGTGTGCAATTTACCTTTAGCTATTCATTGTATTAGATTGGAGCTAAGACAGTAGGCAGGTGACCCTGAAAAGACCAAACCAAAATGGGGTAACACAGAGCAGTTTAGGGAGCACGAGATGAGTAAATGTACTCAGTAGAGTCAAGGGACATCCAAGGGGGAGTAGACTCAACATACCCAGTCCTCTCTAGCCTGCATCTCCCAGAACTCAGCCAATTATGTGTTGACCTCAGTTCTAGTATTCCTTAAGAAGTTGCAGGGACACTCTTTCGGTGGTGACAAAGAACTGGAAATTGAGGGGATGCCCATCAATTGGGGAATGGCTGAACAAGTTGTGGTATATGAATGTAATGGAATACTATTGTTCTATAAGAAATGATAAGCAGGCAGATTTCAGAAAAACCTGGAAACACTTGCATGAACTGATGCTGAGGGAAGTGAGCAGAACGAGGAGAACATTGTACACAAGAAGAGCAACATTATGTGATAACCAACTATGACACACTTATCGATTCTCAGTGATACAAAGATCTAAGACAATTCCAAAAGACTCATGATGGAAAATGCTAACTACATGCAAAGAAATAACTATGGAGTCCAAAAGCAGATTGAAATATACTATTTTATACTATTTTCACTTTTTTTTCTTTCTCATGCTTTTTCCCTTTTGTTCTGATTCTTCTTTCACAATATAACTAATGTGGAAATAGTTGTAACATGATTGTACATGTATAACCTATATCTGATTGCTTGCTGTCTTGCGGAGGGAGAAGGGGAGGGGGGGAGGGAGAAAAATTTGGAACTCAAAATCTTTTCTAAGATTTTTCTAAATGAATGTTGAAACTATCTTTACACGTAATTGGAAATAAAATAAAATAATATTAAGAGAATAAAAAAAAAGGTGCAGGGCCTCTTTTCTAATGATATCACCTTGAGTCCTTCACTATAAACCATCAGTGAATAATAATTGCTGACATTTATATAGTGCCTACTATATGCCAGGCATTTTACAATTATCTCATTTCATCTTCACAACAACCCTGAGAGGTAGGTGCTATTATTACCCTCATTTAATAGTTGAGGAAACTGAGGCAGACAGAAACTAAATAATGTGCCCTGGGTGACACAGCTTGTAAGTAAGTGTCTGAGGCCAGATTTGAACTCAATATTCTATCCATTGCACTGCACAGCTGGTTGGGATTGGGACTTCATTTAACCAACTATTACTAATGAACTTTTACAAAGGGATACTTACTTCAATTACATAGCAAGAACAAAAGTGCAAACATCCACCCCAATGCCATCTTGGTCTCTGGGACAGCTGGCTCAGATATCACATTTTCTACCAAGTTCTCTTCCAAAGGCATCTTGACTATCAAATGGGTCCTCATCTCAGCTATTGCTGGGAATGTCCCCTAAATCATTCCTTGCTCCTCAGGGCGTAAAGGCTGGCCTGGCTACAGAGCCCAGATGCACTAGCCTCTCAGATCTGCTAGATCTCAATCATCTCACCCTCTTGACCTTTTGAAACTCACAAGGCCATAGCTTCCAAATTAATCTCCTTCACCTAAAAAAACAAGGAGAAAGACCGAGACTTGCACAAGTCTTCTCCCTTTATAGAACGTCTCTCACCGGACGTTGTCAGAGGGGAAAAAGTCACTCAGAAAGAAGAGGCCAAACCAGGAGAGAGAAGCCAAGGCTGTGCTTGGTTAGTACCTTCTAAATGTAACTCTCAGTTCTGCCTCCAAAACTGCACTTAATCAGAGGGACTCCTATTCACCATGTGGTTAGTTGACCAGAAACAGTTATATCAGGTTTCCACCGCTTCAGAATCTCTCTTCTGAGTACTTTCTTTATATATCATCATAATTCTCCCAGAAACAGGCTCTCCAGCATCACCCACTTATGGAATGGCATCAGCAGCATTGTGTGCATCCTCATTAGACCTAGGCTAGGTGGCTAGTCCCCCAGTACAGACCACGAGGTCCACATAATTGGACCACGAAGCCAGCAGAGCAATACTCAGCAAAGAGGATGTGGCCAACAGAGCAGTGGAAAACTGCATTATGGCTCCACCAGAGGACATTAGCAACTCTGAAGTGTCAAAGGCAGGAGTTGTCCTTGTCATGCATACAAGTGCCCTATGTTTGTCCCTTTTTACACGTGTTATCTGGACACCTGTACTGTCCATGTGTGTCCTTGATTGTGTATGTTCTCTGTTCCTGTATTCTCATATAGTGGTAAAGTGATAATTTATGAGAGAACATATCTTATGTGTACAATAGCCAATAAATATTAATTAAGCGTCTACAATGTGCCAGGCCCAGTCCTAAGTGCTAGGGATACAAATAAGCAAAATAAAGACATTGCCTGCCTTCAAGGAGCTTACTATCCAATGTGGGAAGAGAATACACAAAAGAAAACTAGAAAGCTTTCTAAATGCCTAGTAGGAATTTGCTTTGTTTGCTTTTGCATGTTACAAGGATTGTGGAAGGGGAATGTGGTCTTAATTGAAAAAAAAAATTAAGTGTATCTAGTACAGAAAAAAAAAGACATAATTCTTCTTATGGAGCTTACAGTCTAGTAGAGGGTCAAGTATGCAAAGAGAGAACTATAAATGTAGCAGAGAAGGGTAAAACAATGTTCTGTGTGAGGTCTGAAAGCAGAGGGCAATTCAGAGAGTTTAAAGGACGGGTAGAAATTCAAGAGCAACTAGGTGGTGCAGCCCATAGAATGACAGGCCTGGAGTCAGGAAGAGTCATCTTCCTGAGTTCAAATCTGGCCTCAGACACTTACTAGCTGTGTGACCCTGGGCAAAGTCTTAAATTTAACCCTCTTTGCCTCAGGTTCCTCATCTGTAAAATGAACTGGAGAAAGAAATGGCAAACCACTCCATTATGTTTGCCAAGAAAACCCCAAATGAGGTTGGGAAGAGTTGGGCATGACTGAACAATAACAAAGTATTTTATCTCCTCTGAATAAGAATGCATTGTGAATAACCCATCCCAACACACACACACACAAACACACACACACACAACTTAATTGCTATCCAGATTGATAAATTCTTTGCTTTACTCAGAATTTCAACAAGCTCCCAATGATTGTTTTAAGTCTTTACTTTCAATTAACCAATCTATTCTATGGACCAAATTCTACTTATCAGTAGACATTTATGGGAATTTTCCTATACAGTTCTCGAAATTTTAAACAGAAGAGAACCAATCCTCAGGCTTGAATGAAGAGTAACAGGTCTTCTGGATTATAAACTATTTTGATGGAGCCAATATTTTCTACCAGAGTTTGAATAATAATATCATCTTGAAAGTTTCAAGGTTGGTTAAGAATCCTGAGAGCTGAAGGGAATAAACTTCCTTTACACTTGTACGGACACATGGAGAAATGCTTATTGGTTGGTTTCTTGAATATTTCTAGTGGTTCGTGAGATGTTTTAAATGGAAAGAATGCTGGATGGATTCAGAATCAGAGGACCTGGATTCAAATCCTGTCCCTCTCACTACCTGTGAGACTTTGGCCAAGTCACCTTACCTTCTCAAACATCAGTTCTCTCATATGTAAAATTGGAGGGGCAGAGGGCATTAGACTAGTTAACCTCTGAGATCTCTCCCAGCCCTAAATCTAGGCACCTATGATTCTAATACTGGTCATTATTCAACCTTGAGTGACCCAAGATCAGAGAGAGGTTATCCAATCTTACCCTTTCATTTTACAGATGAGGAAACTGAGACCCAGGGAGGTTGGGACCTTCCCAAGATTACACAGGTATAAAGGGTCAGACTTGGGATTCAAATTCTATGAACTTCCTAGTTAAAGATCTCTCGCTACTGAAACACAAGCAGGCATAGTCTCTCTCTCTCTCTCTCCACACACACACACACACACACACACACACACAGAAACACAAACAAACAAGATCATTCCAGTTCAAGCCACCATGCTTTGAATCCTCTCCAGACACCAGCCAAAATATGACATGGCTGCTGCTGCAGGGAGGGGGGGGGGGGAATGGTTGTTTCATTGAAATAAAACATTTAAAGATCCCTTAGTGGCTATTCAGGGACTAGAATTCAATTTCCATTTCTCCACCCTCTGGCCAGCTGCAGCTCTGAAATGCCAACATAAAACATCCCAAGATTGCACTTTGTGGTAAGGTTGGATTTTTCTTATGCAATAGAAATGTGCCTTCATTAACACTGTTACATTTTCATTTCAAAAACAGACAGAAAAAACAACAATGACCGTTAACAAAAGAGAATGAAACCTGGCTTTGAAGAAGTCTTATTTTATTAGGAGGCTGAGTGGAGAGGGAGGGAAGGGTAGGTTTGTAAATGGTTTCACAAACTCTCTATATCTTTTTTTGGAGGGGTGGGTTGGGGGTGGGGCAGGTCAAGTGGTGGTCTACACCTTGGGATCAGAACACTCTATCTTTACTAGACAATCTAAGAATATCACTTTTCAAATCTTCTCATTCCAAGAAGTTTTTGCTCATCCATGCCAAAAAAAAAAAATAAATGTAAACTTCTTAAGCAAACCACATAAATACTATGACAACTAACTTGATATTACACTTTTTAAAAATCAGAATGCTTTATAATCTATAAAAATGGTGGCTATGGCCTACTGTGCTTTAAATGTTCTAGACTTTGTACCAAACTGACTTGGTACAGGGCATACTGGGCTCATCCAAAAAGCTCAGAATCTATCCCTGATCGGAATTTAGTCCACAGGTAAAGCAACCACTTGAAGATAGTCTGCAGTCTACTGCAAAATGGGAAGGGTAAAGAAGCATCCTGAGAGACTCAGGCAAGACAGTGATTTCAAAATCACCATCTGGAAAAACAGGGCCTCCAGTTGGGGTAAGCACATCAGACCCAAGGCCTTGATTCAGAGGAGATCCTGCAAGGAATGGACCCATCTTGATTTCCAACATCACTTTCATTCTCCTTTCCTGAAGTCCCACCGCTGGGGTGTCTGCTGTTACAGCCCTTGTTTCTTAGACCACCAAGGGTGAATCGCGCTGCAGAATGTATAGGGCCCCCTAAATCAGATGGCTTGGGAATGCATCCTGGTGTTTAGACATGCAAATGCATACACAGATATGTGCAAACACACATATGCATGCTAAGTGAAGATAATTTCTATTTAAAAGATTTACTATTTCAGTTAAGCAATTCATCTGGAACCCAGAAATTACATTTGATTTTAATTAAAACAAAGAAAAGAAGATTGTACCTTGGGTCTACACTGATTCTCACTGCAGGTAGGGTTCCTATTAAAAGTTCAGCTGCTGGTACTAGTTTCATTTGTAGAATTATGTTTCAGCATTGAAGCATTTTTTTTAAAAAAAATGTTAATACATGCATTTACATAGGTTTGGCAAGCAGATAGAGAAAATGGGTCAAGAATCATCCTTTGAGCTGCAGAACGGATTCTTCATTTTGTGTGCATGTGTGCCATGAATACCTTTGGCAGTCTGTTAGCACTTACGGAGCCTTCCTCAGAATCTTCTTTTTAAATGCATAAAACAAAATATATAGGATTACAAAGGAAATGAGCTACATGGAAATAAAGATGTAATTTTTTTTTGCCATCCAAGTTCATGCCCTGTGTCCCTCTGAAATCTAAGGCCCATGGACCCTAGATGAAGAATCCCCAGCCTAAAATCTCTTGATTGCATCCTCAGAAAACAAAAGAAATCAGTTAAAAAGTGTGACTTCCCAGGACACAGAAATGCACTGGAGGGGGGGAAGATGCAATAATAAGTATGATTCTGCTATATCGTTTGCTCCTCTTGGGGCATTTTCTAAATGGCTTGTGTCTTCTCTTTATAGCATACTTTGTATGCTTTTAAAACTACACTGATTTATTAAGACTTCAAATGATGTTGGATTTTGTCTCTATTAAAGACAAATAACCACTCGTAACATCTATTTTTCTAAGGGATTTCCTCTGCGTGATGACTATCGCTCACACGCTAGAGAGAAAGAAGGGGACGTCCCTGGAGCCGGGGTGGTGAGGGTTTCCCCCCACGCGGCAGATATAAGGTGAGTCCCAAGCTCAGGAGTGCCCTTTGTTACATATCGTCCCTTGGTTAATACTGTCTTCCATATACTGACTGGAGGTGTCGGTGCTCCTGCTCAAGACTGTGGATGGAATCCTGGAAGACCTCCTCTCTGGGGTTTCGCCGTGAGAACAACAGCAGATCATGCGCTTCATGGTGCTGTACATCTCTTCATCTTTGTAGGAATAAATGATCGGATTCATGACAGAGTTGAGTAGGGCCAGCAGCAGGAACCACCTTTTGACGTGCTGCACGCCACAGCGAGTACAGTTTAGACCATCCAGGAGCAGGACTACTAACCCAGGAGTCCAGCACACAACAAAGGCTCCTAAAGGAAGAAAAGAGGAAATGGTAAGATTGGAAAACCTGGGTCTTCCCTCATCTCTACAGGGCCACACTCTAAATCACAATGGATCACAGACTCTCAGTCCAAAAAGATCCAGACAGCCTGGAACTTTGGGTTGAATCTAATAATAAAAAAAATGTCAGAATAAATGTTGGCTTAACACTTGTATTCCAAAAACTGACTTTACAAGTGAGTGTAGTTTAGGAGAGGCATGGTCAGACCATAGTTTCTCTGAAAAGATCCAGGGGTACGGAAAGAGGGAAAGAGGAATAAAATAGGGAAGGTTAGGGAATTTTGTCTCACATAATCAGAGTATACAAGTAATTATCTATCTATACAAACAAGGAGGAAGGGGTGAGGGTGGGGGGACACTGACACCCGGACCTCATTCTCATCCGAACTAGTCAAAGGTGAGATGAATGTACAAACAGACACATACCCAGTTGTATATGGAAATAAATTTTTATGCCAACAGGGAAATAGGAGAGAAAGGAGAGAAGGGGGAAGAGGGAATTAGACAGAGGGTAATTAAGGGAGGGATTAGCCCTAAGTAAAATAAACTCTGGGGCAGCTAGGTGGTGCAGTGCGTAGGAGTGCTGGGCTTGGAATCAGGAAGACTCGTCTTCTGAGTTCAAATCCAGCCTCAGACACCTACTAGCTGTGTGACCTTGGTCAAGTTACTTAACCCTATTTGCCTCAGCTTCCTCCTCTGTAAAATGAGCTGGAGAAGAAAACGGCAAACCATTCTAGTGTCTCTGCCAAGAAAACCCCAAATGGGGTCATGAAGAATAGGACACTACTGAAAAATGACTGAACAACAAAATAAACTCCAAGGATGTATAAAAATATTTATAGCACCTCTTTTTGAGATGGCAAAGAATGGGAATCTGAGGAGGTACCCATCAATTGGGGAGTATCTGAACAAGTTATGGTATATAAATGTGATGGAACACAATTGTGCTACAAGAAACGAGGGAGGGGATGGTTTCAGGAAAACCTGGAAAGACTTATATGAAGTGATGCAAATAGAAGCGAGCAGAACCGGGAGAACAATTTATACAAGGACAACGAAATGGTGAAGACAAACAACTCTGAATGAATTAGGAACGCTGATCAGTTTAATGACCAGTCACAATTCCAGAAGACTGGCAACAAAACATGCTACCTTCTTCCTAATAGTGAGGTGAAGTAAGGATTCAGAGTACTGAACGAAACATTGTTTTGGACACGGCCAACACAGAAATTTGTTTTCTTGACTATATATTTGTGACAGGGGTTTTATTTTTCTTTCATTCTCAGTTGGGGGATGGAGAGTTGAGATGGGAGGGAAAGAAGGCAGATTTTTGCTGATTAAAAAATTATATAATTTTTAAAAATGATCTAGGGGTTTTAGTAGACTATAAATTCAACACATACAAAGCCAGAAGAGTTCCTGCTTTGAAGGGGCTTATATTCCATTTGAGGAGAACAACATGGACATAGCTAAGTCAATACAAACTATATAAAAAGTAATTGGGGGGAGCTAAGCCAACCTCTGCTTGACCAATGCTGCCCCCTTGCTCAAGGTTAAACAGCTAGTTTAGAGAGAGACAGCTGAGATTCTTTTCCTAACACCAAGTCTAACACACTTTCTACTCAGCAACACTGACCAAGGTTATATCTTTCTGCAATACCCATAACATCTCAACCAGTACCTTTATCCATAGTTGGAATTCAATAAATATTCGACTTTCCGATTAATATTCAAATAAGCAGAAAATTGAACTCATCAGAACACTCCACTTCCCAAATATTCTGCTTTGCTGAAGTTTTACTTCAGTTCATTAGCACAAGGAAAAAAAAAAGCATATTTCATCTACAAATGCCAGTAGGCTCTACTGTTGTTGAAAAATGTTTTGCTTTTTTTTTCAACAGGGTGACACCCAGGAAAGGGGTATTATTTATGTTGTTGGGAGATTAGAAGAACTAGATGAGTCAGACTTTAAAAGCTGTGGCTACTGTAGCTGATGTTAAGGGTCCTTCACCCCCACTACCCCTTTAGAAATGGAATAATTCCTCAAAATCCCTGTGGGAAAAAGAGTGCATTCCCTGGGCACGCAGTTACTTTCCGGATGTCAAAATGTCAGACTATTGTCTGGAGACAGGGTTTTTACTAAAGTTGCAAAACTTGGAAAAATTAAAATGTTACCTAAGGACACACAACCAACTCTGAATTGCCCAGTAACGGATTGTACCACTTTACTTTTCTTTCATTCTCAGTTGGGGGATGGAGAGTTGAGATGGGAGGGAAAGAAGGCAGATTTTTGCTGATTAAAAAATTATATAATTTTTAAAAAGGATCTACGGGTTTTAGGCTATAAATTCTATACAAAGACAGAATAGAGGAGTTATAAAATAGAAGGGACCCCTGTTTCCTGCTTCTGCATCCTACTTTCAACCAATTAATCAATCTATACAACTATACATATTGAGTGTCCCCTAACTGTACAAAAATAGTCCCATCTGCAGCTTCAGCTATAATAGCAAAAGGAAAACAACAACAACAACAACAACAAGAACTAGAAACAACCCATATGTCCAACAATTGGAGAATGGTGAATAAATTATGACATATTGATGCAATGGGATTTTATGGTGCTGTAAATACACACTCATACACACAGAGTATATAAGGAAATATGGAACAACTCCCCTGAAGAGATGAAAAATGAGAACAGCAGAACTAAAGAGAATAACCATAGAGCATAATTATATGTATGTATATAAATATATATACAATATACATAAATATATACATGTAAATATGTACATCTATATCTATACATATATACTACATCTATACATCCATCTATACGTATATACAAGAACAAAGTCAGAGGTAATAGAGCTAAAGGAGAATTTGGAAAGGTACAAAGCAAAAGTAATTGTATTTGTTAATTTGTTTGATTTTACTTTTTTTAAAACATTCAGTGAAATTCTGTCATTTTTTTTCTTTTTCTTTGATCAGGATGTGATTGAGGGGTTTTTGTTACACATTTAGGGTATAAGCTCCCTGAGGGCAAGTGCTTCTTTATTTTTCTCTTTATAACCTCAACACCCGAACATAGTTCCTTGTACACAGTGAGTACTTAATAGACGCTTATTAATAGGAAAATCATTCCAGGTTTACCCCAAGATTCACCCTGTACTATATTTGCTTGCTCATTGGTTGGTGTTGCAAATTTTTAGTTCACAGTACTGATATGTTTTAAAAAATTTGTATCCAGTGCCATTGATATGCCTAGCCATCTCCACTTTTAACCATCTCAACTGCAGTTTAATACTTAGACCAATAAGCGGGCAGGTTTAAGAAGATATCAAAGTTGAGCTTATCGAATTTTCAGTATTGATTCCCGAGATTTCCATTAATCTCACCATCACACTGAACCATAAATACACAGTCCGGGACCAAGAAAAGCAATAAAATGAAGTGCTGCTGTCTATCAGTAAACTTCCACCAGGGTTGGGGAACCTGTGGCCTCGAGGCCACACGTGGCCCTCTAGGTCCTCAAGTGCAGCCCTTTGAATCCAAACTTCACAGAACAAATTTAGGGTTAGGGTTAGATTCAGTCAAAGAGCCACACTTGAGGACCTAGAGGGCCACATGTGGCCATGAGGCCACAGGTTGCCCACCCCTGTCTCCTCTATCATAATGACTGTAAAACCCCATTTCTAGGTAATAGTATTTTACGGGAAGTGATTACAAATTGAAAATGATAACGTGAGGGACAGCTAGGTGGCTCAGTGGATAGAGCACCAGTCCTGAAGTCAGGAGGACCTGAGTTCAAATCCAGCCTCAGATCAAACACTTGACATTTACTAGCTGTGTGACCCTGGGCAAGTCACTTAACCCCAATTGCCTAAAAAAAAAAAAAGAAAAGAAAATGACAATGGGAATGATGAAGTCAAGTCTTTTCTGGAAGTTTCAAATTGAGCTGCTGTGTATCCTAACTCTTAAATAGGAGTCTGCCTAAATGAATATGGGCTCTCCTTGATTTGAACTATGTTCCCTCCAACATACAGATCTCAACCCCTTTTATGCCTGTTCATCTTGAAAACTCTTGTTTACATTGTATACATTTGCCCGAAGGGGTCCACCCAGAGGACTCAATGCCTTCTTCCTTGCTTTCTCTTAATATAGCACTGTCTACTTGTTATTCCTCCATCTTCTCCACAGTGGTTCAATGGATAGATCGTAGGGCCTGGAGTCAGGAAGATCTGAGTTCAAATCCAGATTCAGACTCTTCCTAGCTGGGTAACCCTGGGCAAGTCATTTAACCTCTGTTTGTCTCTGTTGCCTCAGTTGAAAATGGGGCTAATAACAGCCCCTACTTCGCATGGTTATTGTCAGAATTAAATGAGATAAGCTTTGTAAAGTGCTAAGCATAGTGCCTGGCACAGAGTAGGTACTTTAAAATGCTTGTTTCCTTCCATATGACCAGCCCATCTTTTTCTACTGTAGATTTCCCTAATGACATCCTTTTCTCCAATTCTTCACAGTTCCTCATTTGTTATATGTTACAGCCAGCAGCACATCCATTATGTGCCTCTCCATGTGAGACCTATTTTCAGTTCATTTTAGATGCTATAATTATTTATTTGGAAAGGCTTTGTTCTCATCAAAATCCCAGTTTCCGGTAAAAAGTGGTTTTCAGAAGCAGTGTACTTAGTAGTCAAAAAGACCTAGGTTCATAGCTTGCTTCAGAAACTTACTAGCTGTGTGACCCTAGGAAAGTCACTTAACCCTGTTTGCCTCAGTTTCCTCATCTGTAAAATGAGGGAGTCGACTGGCCTCTGAGGCCCTTTTCAGTTCTAAATCTATTACTCTATGAGATATTTAAAACAAATCAACAAAAAACAGAATGACCTTGGAATGACCTGACCTATTCTCAAAATAAGATTTTACAGCAAAATCAGTTTTAATGGTCAAAGCCCTTTTGAAA